TTGGCTTTCTTTTAAATATACATAGATATTATTTCTAAAAAATAATAGTTTATTAAAGAATTGAATGTTTTTCCTAATACTCAAAATTCTTGGGTTCTAAAAAAATGAGATTATTATATTCTTTTGAGATATAAAAGATAAAATTGTTAAATAGATTAGTAGTAAGCCACCACCAAAGAATAGTGCATGGTTATAGATCGTCTTAGTCTAAAAATTTAGTGTATCTTATATAAATGGTGAAACAAGCAAAAATAATTTTCTCAAAGTTCTATTGAAGTGACTATAAAGTATTATCTATCGTTAAGAACTATCTCTGTTGTATAACATCTTATCACTCTTTTTAAAAAAATGTTTCTTTTGATGGAATGACTAATCTTGAAGTAATATATCTCATTAGTAATTCAATCTAATATGCTTAAACTAAGCGTATTAGATTCATTTATCATAGTTCATTAAAAAATAGTAAATTGACAATTATATGTCAAATATAAATCAATAGATGATTAGTATTTTTGGAGGGCTCATAAATAGATATTAGAGCTTGTCTCGATACTCTTGAGGAATAGAAAAACTTGCAAAATAATTTACAATATTACTGTCATTTCTAAAAGTATTTTTCTTAGGAGTTACAAGAACCAAATTCCAAAGTTGATTGTTTTCTTCAAATATAACTTCACCAGCTCTATTTTGTCTAATCAAACTTGTAATATGATATCTTGTTAAACTTAATCTTGTATGGATCAGGAACTAATATATCAAGTTTGTTTTTCTAGTAAAGCTCCTAATGAGATTTGTGAAGGAAATTGAAACAGTTTGACTACAGCAGTAATTTTAATTTTATCCATATAATTAGTAATTTATAATAAAGAAAACCATCCAAGAAAAACACATCTACAAAAGGATATTGGTACGGATTACACAAGGGAAGCCTTACCAAGTGGAAACAAGTGCAACATAGTCTTGGGTCCTGTAAGATTTGTTTGGTACAGAACTTCCCCAAAGCTTCCTCCATCAAACCTTATGACCTCATATTTAGACTGTAGAAAATATTAAAATCAAATATCTAGATTTCATATTTGTGTTTGAAGATTAAGAAGAATGTAAAAAAACTTTTTTTTTTCTTTCTTCGAATGAATGGTGGTTAAGTGTGTATCCTTGACTTTAATCTATAATATATAACTTAAGAGGTTATGTAGGCTTTGAATTTTAATTCATGCACTACAAGAACTTATTCATTATTTATTTTTTTTAAAGTTAAAAAAGACAATTTTATTAAGATAATGATAGAAGTTTATCACCACCATAAGGTAAAAAGCCACGTTACACAAAAACATCGAGTGTACTTTACAATAATATGATTAATTATTTTAATAATATATCTCTACTTTAAGTCATGTATTTATATACCAATATATAAAGATTGGTTAGTAATTAACCTTAGAAAAAAGATCTAATTGTTAATAAAATTTTTTGAAATACCCTTTAACATCCTACGCAAAGTATAAGGTAATATAAAAACATAAGCCGATAATAATAACAGTATAAAATATATAGAAAACGTAATCAACTTTCCACGATACTTATTCTTTGCATAAATCAAGAGAACTAACTAATTATTGAAGAACAATGTATAGGGTTGATAATTTTTTGCAGACTGCGAAAAACATAAATCTTATTTTAAACTATAACCTATGAAATCTTCGAACTCAAATAAAAAATCATAAACTATCTAAAGTAAATAGAGAATTGTGCCTATTTAAATGATTACTTAAATAAAGATTTCAAGGCTATTTGGGACGTGATTTTATTATACTTATTAGATATTTTACTTAATTTATATAAAATACTTATGAATATTGATTTTATTAGCTTTATGGCTGTCATTATAGTATAAAATGAGTCATTTAAAAAAAATTTACTTTTGGATTTAATCTTTATGTAGAAGAACTCATTAGCCATTTACTTTGAAAAGCATAAAACAATTTTTTTAAGATAATGTTAAAATTTTATCAAGCCACAATATTTTTTTTGAATTATAAGCAACAAAAACTCGATCTTCTGGTCTTTTTAATCTAAAAAATCCTCTAATAATTTATATAGTTTTACAATTTTCTTTTCAATTTTTAGAATGCGAATATTATAGGAATTCAGAATTCTAGATGAAGATGGTGAGTGCTATTGGAACAATGAAGCTCAAAATGAAATTTTAATTAAGGAAATTAAGATAGATAGAAATAGTTTTGAATATTTTCTACTAACTATTTTTTAATTTTGTAATTTTTTTCTTTAGAAGACCAATCTAATGACAACAGTTAACTAAGTCTACCAGCTTCACATTTCTTTACCATACTGTGCATACATATCTATGTATAGTTATTACCTTGATAATTGATTAAAATTAGATAATTAAGTGTTGAGTGCTTCAGATATAAATAAATTTGTCGACCATACAAGTATAACACCATAAAATTTTGTTAAACATTATAGAAACAAAACTTAGAGGATTCCAATCACTTAATAATTTTTTATTTCAAATTAATTATTTAAGAATAAAAAATACGTAACAAAAATTAGCTAATTTTTTAAATTCAAAGCTATAGATGTTTCATTTTTTTTATGTACACATATGGGGTATATAAAAAAAGTGTGTTGTAAAGTTGAATTTTTTGATTTTGTTATAATACTATTATATAAGAGAACTTAATCAAAATTCTTACAAGATATCAAAATTCTGATTTGGTAGAAATTTGTGATATGCAACTGGATTTTGTTTTTGTCTTCAAATGCATTTGTTATTTTATGAGAAACAATAGCTTATTAAACATAAAATTTTAATTTTATAAAAAAATAAATAAATAAGTGATAAGTAAAAATAACATTAGAAAATTTAATACGTATAATAATAAATAATAATAACAAAACTAAACAAAAGAAAAATAAAACTTTAAGAAGAATGTTGAGCAAAGCAAATAATGTGAAGAAAATGGGTTAATAAAGTAAATATGGGAATAGATGAATAATTAAGGGTGTAGCAAAATTAAGGTATAAACCAAATCATGTAGGAAAATAAAATTTAGGAAGTTGCAAGTAAAAGAATAAAATACATAACTAATTAAACAATAGAACCATGAGAATATTTAAATTGGATGAGGGAATTGCTATTTAAAATAGAAGAAATTGTAAGAAAGAGATTTTGAAATAAGTAAACAAAAATAAGAAAATCTAGAAAAGAATAATTAAGAAAGAAATGATAAAATACCAATCTTCTACAATAAAATAAAATAAATAAAAAAAGAAAATATTCAAAGTTGAAATAACAAAAAATTTAGGAATAATTCATTTACAATTAGTATGGTTGAAGTTTGGCGAGGGGTAAACCATATCCTAAGATGGATAAAAGCTTAATCACATGTGATTAAGATGTATGTTATGTTCTAAATCACCTGGCGACATACTGTTATGGCTAAATGTTGCATGATCTGTTTATGTTCCTCTTCATGTGGTAGTAGGAATCCTGATCTCATAATGATACTAATTGTAAAACGAAATCATATGATAAATTAATTAAAACAAAAGAATAATTATTGAGAATCAAAGCAAGAAACAAAACCTAAAATTCTAAAAATGAAACATTAAAAATTTTAAATGCTCGAATTAAGTAACCTTATTTATGGAAACTACAAGTTATGAGAATTTGATCTTATGTGATATGTGAAAAAATATGATATTTGAGTAATGTAAGAAAGAAAATAAGAAGAATGAGAAGCAAAGAGAAATAAGAAGGAAAGATAAATATCAAATTAAAGAATAGAATTAAGAAATAGGGTAGAAAGAAGAAAATGGAAACATAGGATTTTAAGTGCTCCGTTCATCATTATTTTCAAATTAAAAAAAAAAGTTTTACATCCATGAATGACTGTATATATTGTATGTTTGAATGCTTAGGGCGTAGTTACTTTTTATACTTACTGAGGATGTGGAAAGCTCAACCCATTTATATCATGACCTTTTTCATATCAAGAGGATTAAGAGTTAGACCGGATCAGTGAAAGAATAGTAATAGCGTCGGAGGCAAAATTTGTTATTCTGTACTGGATGAGTATTGCTATATTTTATTTTTATTTTATATTTTAAACCTCATGATTAATGTAAATATTATTACAATATGGTCAAGAGATGAATAGAATATCTTTTGTGATGTAAATGTATTGTTGTTGGTTATTTTCCTACGTTAGTCCAATAAGACGATGACTATAACTCCTTAATAGGAAAACAAGGGCATCATATACATTCATTCATGATCTGGCAAAACTATGTTAAATAATAAATTAAATCGATTATGCCAAAAATTTAAACTATCATGAAGTAAAATAATCAATTATTTATATTATAATACACTTTTTTAGCATAAGTCAATCATGTTAAAAGCATAAATTATGTACAAATTCACTTGTGTAAAATTATTTTTTTAATAAAAATCACACTAATAAAATTTTAAAATTGAACATCTACTTCTAATATCATATTAAATAATAGATTAAACTAGTTATTCTAAAAGTTTAAATTAATAAAAAGAAGTTTAATTATTTATTTATATTTAAACATACCTAAACACCAATAATTAATTGAATTAACTATAAATTTTTAATTAAATCTTATAGAAATTCTTGAAAATATAACCTTAATTTAGTCTTAGTTTCCAGATTAAATTAATATTGATTTCACCATGTGCACATTTTTTTCCAAAACCTTTTATATGTGGGCACTTAAATGTAAACAAACTTTCACCTCCATAGAGTAAGTTTTGTTAATATAGACGTGATTATTATTTTGTTAATAAGAAATAAAATCATTTTGAATTCTCGGAATATCTTTTTTTTTTCTTTAATTTCTTAAGAAAAAGGTCATATCGTCTTTTTATTTTTAATTTCTTTATAAAAGGGTAATATCGTCAAATCGGAGGCTTATTGAACTAAACGCATATAAGCAAATCCCTTACCCGCTACCCCTTATCCTCTTCCTAGCTTCTTCCACGACTTCCTCACTTTCGACACTCTCAATTTCAAAGAGAAGAAGATAAAAATGGCAGCAACCCTCTCAACAACAGTTACCTTGGGTTCCTCTTACCCCGCTACGCCCACTTCCTTTTCTTATCCTCCGCATCACTCCACAAGATTCACCATAGTCGAATTCCCATTTCGCCTCAATCCCCCTGCTATCCTCATTCACCGCAGCACCGACCTCCGACCACTTTCCGCCGTTTCCGCTCCAGAGAAGATCGAGAAACTAGGCGAAGAAATCTCCTCCCTTACCCTCGAGGAGGCCCGAAACCTCGTGGACTACCTCCAAGAGAAGCTCGGGGTATCTGCCGCCGCATTTGCCCCGGCCGCGGCCGTCGTTGTCGCTCCTGGAGCTGGAGGTGCAGACGCAGGGGCGACCGTGCAGGAGGAGAAAACGGAGTTCGACGTGGAGATCCAGGAAGTGCCGAGCAACGCGAGAATCGCGGTGATTAAAGCCGTGAGGGCATTGAAGGGGAACTTGCCGTTGAAGGAGGCCAAGGAACTAATTGAAGGTTTGCCGAAGAAGATGAAAGAAGGAGTTTCCAAGGAGGAGGCTGAGGAGGCCAAGAAGCAGCTTGAAGAGGCTGGCGCCAAGGTAGCCATTCTTTAGGTGGTCAGGTTTTCTGAAATGGTTGGTTTTTGTTTTTGTTCTCTGTTGATTAGTTTGGTATAGTTGTAATGTTACTGGTAATTTGCTTTTGACAATTCCTTTTATTTTATTACTATGATTAGCTTTTCGAGATGCCCGCCATGTGTTTGATAAATTGCTACACAGGAGCAAATTTCTTTTGTCAGTTCTTTTTTTAGATAATGTGGTTTCTGGGTTCATCTGTTTCTGAATGATTTTCGAGATTTAAAAAGCATTATCAAATATCGAAATGGCAAATCATTGTTCCAGAGCATAAATAGCTAGATTCAAAAGCCTTTCTTTCCATCTAAAGCTCGGTTCTTTTGCTAAAATGGCCACCATTTACAGACTTTGTTTGGATAGAAAATGGAAAAGGAAATGGAGTTTGGGGAAAAAAAAGGAAAGAAATAATAAAAAAAAGGAATTTTATCTGAAGTAATTTAAGCCAGAAAATAGAAAAAGTAAAATTGGTTGTCTTCATCAGCTCGCGGGAGCTAAAGCAATAGCTAACCCGATACCATAAACCCATAATAATGATTCTGCGAACTCCATAAAACTTAGTTTTGGGATCTTTATGGATTTTTGCACAAGTCACTCTACCAAGATCCGGTAGTCATTTCTACCAATAAAACATTTGTGTTCAATTTATAGTAAGTATATGGAGAACGAAACTGAAGTGAAGGGTGACAACACTACTATCTTGCATATTTAATACTAGTGTTGGTTCGCTAATATGCTCTAATTCTCTGATGTGAACATAAATATAGAACAAGAAAATGAGAATTGAACCCCCTACTATGGTAGATCCAATGATTTTTGGCTTACCAAATTTTCGATAAGACCATTCAAAATCATGATCGGTGATCATGTTCATGATAATGCAAGATGTTATCCAACGAAGTATAGAAATTGGAAAGGTAATGTAAGTACGTATATAGATAGAATTCTAAGGGGAAACACTTACCCAATCCATTCTCATATAAGAACATGAGTAAAACAAATGATATACAAATTTTTTATGATCTACACACAAAATATTTATTACATATTTTTAGAGAAGTCAAATCCGCACAACACAAGTGCAACATTATATGCTTGACTTTAGGAGGGAGAGAGAATACTCAAAACGCTTCCACTTAAAACTTCTTAAACCCAAAGACAAAGGATTTACCATGATATGTTAAGACCTCAAGAAAAATAATTGGATTGACACGGTGCAAACTCCATTTTGACTGTGGTCCAAATTCATGTATCATAAGGCAAAATTCTTCTTCAAATTGAACAGAAAAGCTATAAATCAATTTCATGTTCTAAACAAAAAATTAGAAATCATCATAGTTGAGATTAGAATGAGATAAGCCAGTGAAGGCATTGGAGTCCAAAGTCAGTTTACTAATATGGGAAGGTAACCGTTTATTTGATATTTTAACAATCCTTTGCTTGTTGCCAATTCTCCATTTGATACTAGATTCCAACGTATCGCTTTATACCACCTTGAGTTTAGCTTGAATGGCAACCAAGTTCAGCAATATAAAATTTCCATTTTTGGAATAATTTGCATGTCTTGAAAAGTCAGGAATCATGATCATCAAGTAGTCCCAGTGATATGAGAATGGACGACATAAGCTATTCGAAACACAATTATAATAATTCAAATCAAGGAGGGAAAGATATGAGCAGCCAAGATAAGAAAGCATGCGACAAGGCCCAAATCAAGAAAGGAGACATATGACCAAGGAAGAGTAAGACAATATCCAAGTAATTTTGTTGGACTTGGATTACTTGGAAGGAATATTATAATGTCAAGTGGGCTAATTACAAGAAATATAGCTAAAAGACTCTGATAAGTCTTTCAACTCTTTGTCCAAGAGTGGATAAGTACGAAAAAAAGGCTTAGGCCAAGCAAGGACTCCCATAAGGAGGATAACAAGCTCATTCGATTGAGGGCATGATGGTATATACATCATAATTAAATGGAAGAGAAAACCATGGAAAAGGGAAATAAAATCCTACCACCCATGAAGGAATCTTTCCAACACGAGAGGATTGCCTTCCTAAGGGAAAATTTTCCTCTTTTTTCATAAGCCACACATATCTCCTTAAAACTGCAAAGATCTCATCCATTAATGAAAGAATCGTCCACCACTCCAAGATCTTCTTATGAATCGATCATTATCTCAAAAAAAATAATGTAACATCCTAAAAACCTTTGTGCTTAGTTATTGTATAAAACCTATAATTATTCGGGCCCTAAGGCCATTAATTCTTTAAATTTATTTTATTTTGAATTTCAAATGAAAACATGTTTAAAATGTTAATTTTATGTTTTACGGACGAATTTAATTTTTATGCATTTATTTTGCCTATTTACATATTTATTTTTATCATTTATTAATTTTAAAATTTTCAAGAAAAACAAATAAAAAAAATGGCGAAAAAATTCCATAGAAAGGGGTTGCGGAAAAATTTTAACCCGTTCGCACAAGCCCCACGCACACACGCACGGCCAACACGGGATATGCACCAGCACGCACGTCCTATTCGTGCAGGGTGCGAGACGCGTAATCTGTGCTTGTCACATCGCGCGCAGACAGGCACGTGGCTCTGCATGCGTTGGCCGAGACACCCACAGGCTTGCTGTGCACAGGAGGCGCGGGCAACACACGCTGCCCCTTGGGGGGTGTGCATTGTCGGTTAGGCAACATGTTGTCGCTATTTGGGCAACGTGCCACCACTGTTTGGGCGACGTGCCCGTCCCTCGTCTGATGTGTTTTTATTTTCTGTAATGCTTTCACGTCGCCATTGTTGCGTCAGCCATCAATCAGTTGTGTCTATCAGTCATCACATCGCATCAAGTCACTTTTACCCCTCCTTCTCTCCTCAGGATTTTTTCACTTGGAGAAAATTTAACGGTCTATATTTTCTATAAATAGGGACCCTTCTCCACCATTTCTTCACCACTCCAACTTCATTCTTTCATTCACCAAAGAAATTCTAAAGAGAGAGAGAGCTAGAGAGAGAAGTGGAAAGACTAGAAAAAAGAATGACTAGGAAAAACTTTAAGCTCCGGTAGGGAATTTGGTATTTATCTTTTACATTATAAGGAGTATTTCTAGAATAATTAAATGAAATATTAATCGGTTGGTTGTATGCTTAATTATCGTTATCACTTAATATTACTTATGCAAATGTTATGTGTTAAGGCATGTTGATATTATATATATATAGAAAAGTAAATAAAGTATTTGTGACATCATGATAAAATGATGGAGCATGATGGAGCATGATGTTGTATCGTAAATATGGGAAGTAGTTATCAATATTGCCATTCATGATTTATAAATGACATGATTCGTTAGGCTTTCTATCTCTGAGGGGTTCTGTTTCTCCTCCATCTAGTTTGAAAAGACGTGAGAGGACCGCTCCTTGTGGATGACGACGTATTCTCTGACGAGAGTGGTGACACAATATGATTGCAAGGGTCACCTTTGGTGACATGTAGGACCATTGTGGTTGGCACGGTCATGGTCATAAATTGTATCATGATTTGATAAGCTGTAAATGTGTTGATAGTTTAGTAAGCCGCAAATCGTTGATATGATATGAAATTAATTTATCTTTCCACATGGGTAGTCGAGAATCCATATTGCCCTCAATAAATAGAAGTTGAAATGATTTCGCACGAAGAAAAAAATGAAATAAGATAAAAACATGACATGATTTGTTTGATTTTTTTTTATTTTAAATTACGACATGATTGATATGATTGATAGAATTTGATATAATTTGACATGCTTGACTTGATATTGACGTTTTTCTCTAAATAAAGTAAACTGTTTTCATAATTATTGAAATGGACCTTTAACACAATTCTCGATGGTAAGTAAATAAGCTATCCTTTTCAAGTTTAATTACTTTTAAAATCTTAGTGATATTATTTAAATACTACTTTTCTTACTGAGTATGTGGAACTTACCCATTTCAGTATCCCCATCAGATGAGGATGATAGTGAGGAATTGATTGTTGACCTACCTATTAAAGCTTTTGAGGATCTCGTGGATCTGTGAACCGTTACGAGTGTATGTTTTGTTTCACACTCTAATGAGTCCAACTTTTGTAGAGTCTTGTGTTTAATTTTATTTCGCCTCAGTATTGTAAGATTTGAAACTCTATTATTATTTTTTAAGAGATTGTAATATTTTATTCCGTTACATATAATTATCTTAAATGCTCTTGTATATATTTCTTTATCTGGTACCCTTATGCCTTAATTAGTATTTGGGACGTCACAAATAGAAATTAAATCTCTTGCCTTAATAGGAGCCTAAATTTCATATATTTAGGAAGATATGGGTTGCAGTTAATTTTTTCTCAAATTGGCCATAATCTTTTTTAATTCTTCCCTCAATCATCTCCATAATTAATGAGGATCTTCACCATTTAAGATATTTCAACAAATGGATGACATATATACACTATTATGATTATAATCTTACTATTTTTAATTTTATCCATGTTCTAGTTTTTGATTTACTTTTGTTATATAATTTACCATAATTAATATAAAAAATTTATTTTTTTGTAATTCACATGGTCTACTACTATAAATAGGTCTCCAATTCATTATTGTAAGCATTCAAGTATCAAAGCAATAAAATACAAAGTTTTTAGCTTGATAACTTGAGAGGTTTCTTCAATCTTCTTATTGAGTGGGGAATTGATGTCTACTTTTTGAAATAAATTGTGGCTTTTTCATCAATCTATTTTCTTGAATTAATTTTAACTTATCAATTTTTTTTGCTTGTGACATTCTAATTAATTTATTTATCTCTATTACTTTAGTTTCAATCAGAAGTTGATTGTCGGTTAAATATGAATAGTTTATCTAGGGATTAAGTTTTTGGTACTAATTGAAATTGTGTGACTCTTAGATTGTATTGTTGATCTTGGGTTCCACATCATTTTGTATCAGAGTTTAGATTCAAAATAAACTTTATAATCTTTGCATCTTTTATCATTGCATTGTTATTATCATCTATAGTAAAAAAAAAAAAAAGAATCAAGTATGAAGTTGATTCTATTGGTTTTTCCTTGCCTGTTACATTCGGTTATTGTTTATCTTTGCTCCATCATAAACAAATGTTGGAAAATCGATCCTTAAAACATGCACAATCATAAAATG